GTTCCAAACATTTTTCACTCTGAGAATTGTGTGATGACGTCTCTGCTTGTCCCAATCGGGAGCCAGCCGTGGGTCATCTGGTGGAGCACCACGAAGGCCGCCCAAAATATCTCCTGGAACCTCAAAGATTCGAAAAGACGCTGGCGGCATCTGCTGCAGCTTATGTCATGCAAACAAACATTTTTGAATTACGGCGCTGTAGGCGAAGTGCTTCTGCTCCGACGCCTTTAGCTTCCGTGCGTGGGCACTCTCCACTCTGAGAAGAACCCGACCGAGCGGAATCTCAAAACGGTATTGGCACTGCGTGTGGCGAGGAAACGTGAGGGGGCCGCAGTGCGTCTATCTATACATCATCCACTGTCAAAGACTTGCCTATGCAGCAGTGGTTCTTGATTCTGCTTGCAATGCTGGTATTATCTGGTGTTGGGGTGCTGCTGGTCTCACGGGAAGATTGGCTGAGTCACGTTGGGCTGGACGTCCTGGATAGTCGCATTACCCTCCAGGCGTCGGTGGCCGAGACTCACATAGACCCGGCCAAGCTCTGACAATGCCCCATTCCAGTCCACCAAGCCTGCATCAGGGTTGGGATTTGTGATGCCGTGCGACCATTCGTTCGTGAAATAGCTGAACCAAGCGTACTTCTCGACCATGTCCTCTTGCTCAAGGTAAGGCACAACATCCTTCATGAACTTGATCTGGCCCTGCATGGACACGTCCACACCTGGGGCTGCACAGGCGAACTCTGTTAGCCAAATCTTCTTGCCGAAGCGCTTGTACTGCTGAACCAGGTTCCGCACGCCGTCCAGGCTGCACCAATAGCTGTGGATGGCAATGGCATCGATTCGGCAACCCTTGCAGGCATCCAAGAACTGCTGCATCCAGGATGTGCCTTTCCCAATGTCCCCGCACATGGCCGGACTGACCAGCGTCTGGACACCATAGTTCCGTGCAACTTGCTCCACCTCTGGCCAAATCGCAGCTGCGTGCCAGGGGTTCATGTGTGCCTGGGAATGGATGTCTGGCTCGTTGAAGCCAAGCAGTGCGCGGAATTGTTGGCCGCCCGCGCCTCTATTGAAGCCTGCGTTGTGGACCATGGGGGAGAAGTCCATCCCCGCACTACCCCAGTAGAAGTGGGGGTCGAGCTCCCAGTTGTAGCCCCAAGACACGCCATATTTCAGCGCATGTAGCTGGTG